ATGACACTTTATAGGTTTTCGGTTTCCGCCATTTTGTGGGCGTGGCAGTGGGACGCCGATTTTGCCTATCTTCGAACTTACCCTTCTTATGGAGCCAGGAAATACGAGTACCAAGTTTCATCATGATATCTCAATTTTTACTCAAGTTACATCTTGCACGGACGAACGGACAGACGGACGGACGGACAGACAGACATCCGGATTTCAACTCTACTTGTCACCCTGTTCACTTTGGTATATATAACCCCATATCTGACTCTTTTAGTTTTAAGACTTACAAGCAACCGTTATGTGAACAAAACTACAATACTCTCGTTAGCAACTTTGTTGCGAGAGTATAAAAAAAAATTTTTTTTTGTCCCACCCTATTACTTAAAAAAATTTTTTGGATCCGCTTCAGAAACTATTTTGCAGAGTACTATTAAATTTTTTTTTTGGCCCACCCTAATGTATTTATAACAGTATGTGAATAGCATAACGCATGCAAGCATTTCGCTGGTGTCAGCATACTATAAAGCATAGCTTTGAACTTGCGACAAGTACTTGCGCATTCAGCGCCCTTCACCAACCCATGTCATTGAGACGACAGAAATGGCTTACTCTGCAGAAAAAACAATAGAATTTAAATGATTTTAATGTGGTAGTTCAATTTTATCGCCACGCCTCTCACTCGATATTCGTTTGGCAATTGCGTCTATTTGCCTTTATTCCGCCCGATTATTGGCCACAGCATATTGCACAACGAACAGCTGGCAAGGCTGGCAACGCTAGGTGGCTGCTTGCCACTTGCTCTACGCTGCTTTCCGCTACTTCTCGCTGCTTGCTAAAAACATCGAATACCAGCAGACGCAGCACTCATTTGCTGAAAATCGTATGCACGACTACTTCCAGTGGATGGGGGCTGCAGCGGRTACACAGCGGTGCCAACGGAAAATGTGCTTCCAGGGAGTAATCGCATGAATTTCGTATGGCTGTAATAACAATAATAATAATCACCAATTGCCCCATTTATGTGCTTGCGTATACAAACATATATACTATATGTCGCTGACTAGTTGCATTATATAACATATGCTCTTACAGTTACCAGCGCCAAATATGCTTA